CCGGATGGGAAACCTGCAGGGTCACTGGGCGCTAATTACCGACAGCTGGAGCAGGCGGGGGCCGGTTGGCGCCTGGCGCCGCGATGAGAGCGCAGATCATTTGCTTCCATCATTTCCATGTTTCAGCCCTTTCTATGTGGGCACCGTCTGAACAGCAAAGAAACAGGTTCCATTAAAAATATATGGAATTATGGGCTTAAGCAAAATGTAAAATTAAGCCCAACTTGGGAGTTGGCCAGATTGGAAAAAGCATATATTAAATTTTTTTTTCTTTTGGAAAGTAGTCCAAATGGAAGCAAATCCATTCCACACTGATACTTGGGAGGTTAGCTTCTCTTCCTCAGGTATAACCATTATTTCTCCTGCTACTATTATAGATACCCCTTTTCCAAACTCCGCTGCAACATTGTTGAACGCCCAGAAAGGACCCAAGAAACGAAAAGCAGAAAGGGTAAGCGGGTGGACTGTTTTCTCGAAACCATGGCTTCATAAAGCTTGGTACACGGACCCGTGGGGCACTGAAGCCTCACTTAAATGAATCAGTGTGACCACAGAGAGAGTGTAATAAAATATAACTTGAAAAAATACCGTGGATCAAATATAAGACGTGCAACCGGAGACAACCTCGGCAGGTCTCCAGTGGAGCAGGGAGACTGCCCTCCCGAGGAAAGGAAGTCCTACCGGAAATGAGCAGGTGCAGCTGCAGATTTGGGAATTTCATTTTCTGGGGCTGCCACCACGGCAGCCAAGTGGGAAGATCAGATTACAAACGCAGGTCGCCCTCAAACTTGGCGCCTGGCGCAGTGATGCCTGGGGAAGGAGGTCCTCGCCGCGGGCCCCGGGGTGAACAAACCTATCTCCTGGGTAGTCGGATCCAGACAAAATCCAAAGGCAACTGGCTGGTTGCATTTCTCTATTAGAACAGAATAATCAGTCAGGACTGGAAGTCAAACAAACTTTTTTCCCATAGAGTGAAAGATACAGATTTAAAAGCGGATGAAACTCTTAAAGCACATGCAACGGAGGCCCAAGAATGAACCTAAGACAAAAAATAGAATTGTTTGCTCAGTGTTTTCTCTTTCTTTCTAGAAGTAGTCACGGAACTAATATAAACTACTGTCTCCTAAAGCAAGGTTTGCCGCTGCTAAATTAATAGGTTCCACGATGCCAGCCTGTGTGATGTGCTGAGTGAGAAGCCACAAGCGAGGACCCGGCGATGGCACAGCAGGAGGAGGGGGCCACGGTGGCTGAGAGCTCACATTTGCTGTTAAAGAGCGGGGGTGTTTTCCATTTTCCTCTGCAAACCTGGATGCACACACCAGGTACCTCAGCGTTACGAACTGCTTAAAAAGTGGTCATTTTTCCAAAGGATAAAAATTCACTATTTAAGAGGTGAAACCAATGGGAAAAAATACTGTTATTTTCCTAAAAATGGTCTAAGCGGTTAAAGGATTTAAGTAATCAAACTTTTACCCCCCAAAACTAAAAAATATATTACCCAGGTGGTTTGAACTATGACTACAGATCAAGTTTCCCCCAATGGAATTTAAGGTGTTTGGGTTGTGACATTTTATTAACAACCACAGTCCTTGCCAAACTCTATTGCCATTAGTAAGAATGGAATTTGTATGAAGGTTGAGTCACTTTTTTTTTCATTCAAATCTGCAGTGATGATCTCAATTTTAAAATCTCACTATATATAAGTACTGCATAGGCATCCTTTTAAAAAATTCCCACAACATTTATGCAGTTTTGGATGGTATTATACATATATCTATAACGTCTATGTGGTGTAGATATTATAAAAGTACTTCTTTTGTACCAATTACTAAAATTAATTATAATTATATGCTAATTTATTATAAATTATAATTTATTTTATGAAAAAACCCTAATGACCTTAATCTTCACATTGGCTTTTTGCTATTTCCTTTCAAGGAATCTTCTTTTTTTTTTGTATATATGCATTTTTATTGAAGTATAGTCTGTTTACAAACTTGTGTCAATTACAAGAAATCATCTTGATTTCAGTTTTATTTAAGTCGGTTTCAACACAGGGACACCATTTGCAGTCAGTGACAGGAGTAGCTGTCAGTCTCTGCTTCTCCCAAGGTGGTGCTAACATTTTAATTCCGTAGGTTGTCAGAACCCCATTTTATACCAGGAGAGCACATATATTAGGCTCCACTCAAACGAGACGGAGTATCTCCAAGTCGTGTCTCTGTTCCATGGCTTTGTTAGCTCCTAAGGCAACTGGAGAGATAAATAACTCTGACTCACTATGCGGTCAAGGAGCACTGTTTACACCTCTTAGTTTTCATACCCACCCTGGGGTGTTGTTTACTATTATCAGCCTTGTAGGGAGAAGGAAAGTCTGGCTTCAGAGGTTCAGTAACTCGCCTGAAGTTCGTTTCCACGTAAAGCCAGAATTTGAACAGAACTGCTGACGGATGTCTCCAGAGCAGATGCAGCAGAGACACTGTGTGAAAGAAATTACTGTCCAACGCCATCAGTGAAGGTCATCTCGTAAACTTGATAAATGCGCTCCAACATTGTTCCAAGTGATAGCTGAATGGAATAACTTTCTTAGAAGTTTTTCTTCTGACCCCAAGTAACGTATGTTCTATCTGAAGCTATTTGAAGCCCTGGAACTTTCTGTAAGTGGAGGCAGGAAACAAATTATTCACAAGCCAGAAATATTTTCCCACCTCAGGTGGTGCCTTTGAGTTGTCTGGCAGATTGCATACTATTCACTAAGGAACTGTAACAATTAACAGAGACGATTACCTCGAAATAAAGCCCCAAGTTGGCACAGGAGAGAAACACTGCGTGAAAATAAGAGGTTTGGTTTCTACGTTCCCCTTTCTCCATCGTCAGAGAATCCCCGATCGTCTCCGTGCTCCCATCCTCTGCTCAGTACCCTCTTTCTGCTGGCCAGTCCTCCAGGCTCTCCACACCCTCACACACACACACACACACGCACACACACACACATTCACGGCTCGTGTACATTTTCTGTTCTTTAACTGATGCCGAATAAACCACCTTGAGTAAAACAAGATATTGCTGATGGTCCAAGGATGAGGCCAAGCCGTCCTGTGTGCCTGACTCCTCCCAGCTGGGATATGGATTGCTGAGAAGGAGCGAACACAGCAGGGACGCTAATTGTCCGTACGTTTGAGTGTGAGGACCTGAAGGAGATATTAAGTTATTAAAATGGAGTCAACAACCCAAAGGGATATACACATAGGGAAAATCCACAAAGAAAACAAAATCAGACGCAAATTGAAAGACAGCAAAGAGCTCAGTTCAAATGAGGGGAGAAGAGCAGAGTCTGAAGCTCAGAGTGACAGGCTGTGAGCCTGTCGCAGGCAGACGGGGGACACAGGTAGCACCGAGATCTGAGTCATAAGCAGCCACCGGCCGCTCCCCAGCCTATAAGCAGCATTTCTCACTGTCCAGTCGGCCCAACGCCTTCAGGGGACTGCGGACAAGAACATGGACGACTTCCTTGCTTCAGGCGAGCGGGAACCCCTGAAGAACAAGAGGCCCAGAGACAGCCCGGATGCTGGGACCAGCAGAGGGCTGAAGATAACGCTGATCAATATGTCACAAGATCTAGCAGAAAACACAGACCATATGCACACACACAGATTGCAGATTTCAGCAATGAGATGGCAATTCCAACAAGCATCAGCTATACCTGGAGTAATTTTTTTTAAATACACTATCAGAAATGAAGAGTTGCTTCCACCACTTCATCAATAAACTCAACACAGATGAGGAAAGAATCAGTGAACTTGAAGACAAGTAAATAGAAATTATCCAAGTTGAACATAAACAGAAAAAAAAGTGAATTAAAAAAAATGAAAGGCAGAACATCCAACAGCTTTGGGACAATGTCAGATAGTTTAACATGCCTGTAACCGAAGCAACAGCAGGAAAGGAGGTGAAATGAACGAAGTAGTATGAAGGAAAGTGGCCAAGAATCCTCTAAAAATGATAATGAAAGACACTAAATCCCAAGCCAAAGAATCCCAGAGAAGCCGAGGAAGGAACCTCTGTCTCTCTCTCTCACACACACACTCCTAGGTATGTCATTTTCAATCTGCTAAAAGTCAAAAAGAAAGAAAATCTTGTAGTCAGCCAGAGGAAAGAGTACCAACAGAGGAGCAAAGAGAGGAATTCCAGGAGACATTCAGGTCTTATGTCTGATGTGACATCTTTAAAATACTAACAAAAAACAAACAAAAGAGTCAACCCAGATTTCTCTGCTCAGTGAAAATATCTTTCAAAAATGAAGGCAAAACAAAGACCTTTTTCAGACAAACAAAAGCTAAGAGAAGGTATTGCCAGCAGCCTTGAGCTACTAAAAATGTTATATGGAGTTTTTCCATCAGAAAGGATGTAATATCAGACAAGAACCCGAATCTACACAGGGATAAAGAGCTCAGTAAGTGGTTAAAGGGGGGGGGCAGTAAACGAACTATGAATGAATTGGTGCGGTGGTTCTGCAGTTAGCCGGAGTTACCACTAGATGGTGCTGCATGCTTCACAGCGTCTGTTACAGTGTCTATCAAGGTGGGTCCGAGGTTTTGAAAGCAGGAGCCGCCAGCAAAAACCAAAGCAGATCATTTTAAATGATGGAATAAACAAAGCCCACTTTAAAAACAGAAGCATTAAGCAGCTCACGAAGCTCTTGAGTCCCTATAGTGCTCTTGCAAACCTGTCCCGCTTTCTTCTTCCAGAGTAAACCATAAACCACGCAGACAAAAGAAAGAAAAGTTCCATTTAGTCTCACTCTGATGTACAAGATTTCTCAGTCAGATACTCACTCAGCCCTGATTTGGGTTTTCTTTTTTAAAATTTGACTCCCAGAGACTTGGACACTTTTGTATTTGCTTTTTGAAATGCAATGTCTGCTACATTTTCTAAATTAAAGCAAAGTAAAATACACTCATTGCAGAAAATTGGGAAAATACAGAAAAAAGTGAGGAAAACTGGAAACAGTCGTAATCCCACACCCAGACATATTTTGATGTACTTCTCCTGTTTTTCCCTCTTCTCTCTCTCTCTCTCTCAAACATTTTCTAAACACGTGGCTTGGTTGGACTGTGTAGCTCTGCAGAGAAGTCTCTGCGTTGGTAAATCAGAGTGGCAGTTTAATGAGCAGCACGATGAATAAAGAAAGTAACCCTTTAGGATTTTGTGGACAGAGATTCAAGTGAGAACTCTGTCCCTTACCAGCGGTGTGAACTTAGCCTTTCTGAGACTCAGCTTCCTAATGCGTCAGTGTGTCTCTCCTTCAGAGAGGTTAATAGGAAAAAATGAGCCAGTGTTCAGGGCCCAGTGCAGTGACTCAATTTCAAATGTTGCATAAAAAGTATTACATTTTGTTTGCAAATAATTCTTCTTTCCAACAGCTACAATTTTTGTTTCATCTCTTCTTAAAATGACCAACTCTGCTGACAAACCTCATCAGGTATATTTGAGTGTAATTATGTGACAAGATTAACTAATGTGTTAATTAATTATAATTGCGTGTAATCGAGTGCTAACTCAGGCTGGGCTCCTGGTTTCACCTTAGTCTGTCACCACCATGTGCGTGTTTGGTAAAAGACAGAGGTGCCGGCTGTGCTGCCCTTGCGAGCTTCCATCTCACTATTCCCACAGAATGCTATTTTCTAGCAATGGGTTGGAGTTTGCTGAAATGATTTTTATCACCTACTAAAAGAATCATGTTTTTGTCATTATACATATTTGATGCCGGCTGTTAACAAGTTTTCTAAGATTAAATCGTATCTGTGTTTCTGGACTGATCATAATTTTGAGTTGCTTCCTTTAATACATTTTCAAAACGATTTCTTCAACTCTTTTTTATTATGTTTATTTTTAACTGTGATAAAATACACGTAACAAAAATGTATTTTCTGAACCACTTTTAAGCGGACAGTTCACAGCGTTGAATACATTCATGCGGTTGTGTGTCCAGTGTCCAGAACGCCTGTCACCTGGCAAGACTGACACTGCACACCCAGTAACAACTCCCCAGTGCCCCCGCCAGGCACGGGCAGCCAGCATTCTATTTCCTGTGTCTATGGATTTGACTGCTCCAGGAACCTCATATAATTGGAATCATTCAGTACTTGTCTTGCAACTGGCTTATTTCACTTAGCATAATGTCCTCAAGTTCAGGCATCAGGAGCATGTGTCAGAATTTCTTCCCATTTAAAGGCTGAATAATAGAGCATTGTGTGAATGGATTGTGTGTTACATTTTGTCGCTTCAGCTACCCATCGGTGACACTTGGGTGGCTACTGCATTTTGACTACCATAAAGAATGCTCCTGTGAACATGGGTGTACAGATATTTCTTTCAGACCCTGCTGACAATTCTTTGGGGCATTTACCCCAAGTAAGATTGTTGGATTATGCAGTAATTCTATTTTTTAAAATTTTTTATTGTTTTCCAGAGTGGCTGCACTGTTTCCCATTCTCAGCAACAATGCACGGGGTTCCAACTTCTCCACATCTTTGCCAACACTTGCTACTTTCTGTTTATGGCAGTAGCCATCTTAGTGAGTGAGGTGCTACCTCATTGTGGTTTTAATTTGCATTTCCCTTAATGCATGACAAATATACTTTTTATTTTAGATCAATGTTGCACATCCCGGATTATTTCAAAGGTAGTAAGTACAGAGTTCTCTTGCACTCCACACCCAGTTTCCTCTGTTACCGACCTGTTACCTTAGTATGGTACATGTTTCATAATTAGTGAACCACTACTATACACCATTGTTAAGTAAAGTCTGTACTTCATTTGGATTTCCTTGGTTTCCCCATAATGCCTTTTTCCCATTCCAGGACCCCATCCCGGACACCAAATTGCATTTAATTGTCTTGTCTCCTTAGGCTCCTCTTGGCTGTGACAGTTTCTCAGACTTTCCTTACTTTTGATGACCTTGACAGTCTTGTGGCACACTAGTCAGGTATTTTGTAGAATGTCTTTCAATTTGGACTTGTCTGGTGTTTTTCTCTTGATGAAACTGGGGTAAAGTGCTTTTTGAAGCAGGCCCCCGGAAGTAAAATGTCCTCATCACATCAGATCAAAGACGCACACCATCACTATGACGGACTATGTTGATGCTAACTCTGCTCACATGCCTTGAAAGTAGTGTTTGCTGGAAATCAGAAAAAAAATGTGGTATCTTATTTACAATAGTACTATTGAATCAACATACATAAATAAGATTGGTTTATAATCTTCTTTTTTGGATAATCTTACACTGAGATGCTGATTTTGTGATGGGTAAATACACCGCTTTGAATATATTTCCATTTTTCTCTGGAAGAGATCAAACAGGGGGATTATTATTAATTTATAAAAACCTGTTTAGTGCCTGAACCTTTCGCTGTTAACAACAATACAGACATAGCTGTTCTCTTACTCTGTTCCTCATTTAGTCAAGTTTGAGCATTTTTATATTCCAGGAAGTGATACATTGTTCTCAGATTTTTAAATGTATTACTCTAAAATTATAAGTGATATTCTTTTATATATTTTAATTTTGTCCCTGTTTTTACAGTATGTTTGTATTTGTTCTGAATTAAATTTTTTTCTTGAGTAAACTTATTATCTGTTTATTTATCTTGTTTATTAACTTATTTATCTTTTTCCCTCCACGGAAGTAAACACCCATAGCTCTTGAATCTCTCAGTTCAACTGTGTATTATGCTTTTTCTGTCACTGATCTCTGCCTTCATCTGTATTGTCTACCACTTCTGATCTTTTATTATTTTTACTTCTAAATTTTAAAATGTAAACGGTATTTATTTTTATTGCATTTTTATGACAAGTCTTGCTTTTGAAAACAGCTTCAGCCATTTTAAATGTTTTTTATTTACCATTTACGTTTTTTATTGTGGGAAGAACATGTAACATGAGATCTACCCTCTTACCAATTATTTTTAAAATGTTGCTACAGCAGTGAACATAAGATCTATCCTGTTAGACAATCTGTGTATAAAGTACAGTATTAACGACTCCAGGCTTTGTGCTCTAGATTTCTAGAACTTACTCATTTTGCGTAACTGAACTCTGTGCCCTGCAACTGATATCTGCCCCCCTCCCCGCACTCCTGCCCCTGGAAACCACCATTCCCTACTCTCTGCTTCGAGTGTTTGACTACTTCAGGCTCCACATTGAAGGAGGTCGTGCGGTGTTTATCTTTCTGCCTCTGGCTCGCTTCCCTCGTGGAGCTCCTCCGGGCTCGCCCACGTCGTCACACGTGGCAGGTCTCCCCCTTCTCTGAGGCTGCGACGGAGGCTCAGATGGCCGCTCTTTTGTTTCTGACTGCATGTATTCGAACCTCGTCTCTTTTTCCCTTGGTTGGTCCAGCCGGGAGTTTGTCGATTTGGCTTACCTTTTCAAAAAACCAACTCTTAGTTTCATCAATTTTTTCCTGTTGCTTTTATTGTCCATTTTGTTTTCTTCGGCTCTAATCTTTCTTTCCTTTCTTCTGCAAACTTTGGGCTGAGTGTGTTCTCCTTTCCCTAGTTTCTCGCAGTGCAAGTTTAGGTTGTTTATTTGAGATCTTTCTTCTTATATGATGTAGGCATTTATCACTGGAAACTGCCTTCTTGGTACTATTTTTGCCGATCCCAGAAACTTTGGTTCGGTGTGTTTTCGTTTTCGTTTGTTGTAAAGGACGTGACTCAGAAACATCAAAATGGAAGAGAAGCAACGGGCAAGGGGGGTGGTGACAGGTGCTCCAACCCCTCTCCGCACGGGCCACCCTCCCGGCACCTCGGTGTGGTCCCTGACCTGGCAGTTCTCGGGCCCCCAGAGTTCAGGAATTTTTATGGAGGCTTTGTCACTTTGGTGACCCTGGAGGATGTGGGCTGGGGCTGGAAGTTCCAAGCTTCTGATCTCACCTTGATCTTTCTGGTGGCCACTCCCCATAGTGAAGCCACCCAGGAGCCCCCCAGAAACTGCATCATTAGAGCAGAAGCCACTGTTGTCATCCAGGATATTCCAAGGGACGTAGGGGCTCTGTGCAGGCGCTCTTCCCACCCCCATCCCTCAGGCGGTTACAGGTCTCAGAAGCTCTGTGCAGGCACCGGGGGTAGAGGCCAAATATATGTGCTTTATTATGTCACGTAGAGGAACCACGTTTTCCTGTGTCTTGGCACGACCGTAGTGCCATCTTCTAAGATGTTCTGCCTGTTCCTTTATAGACCCAAATTTGGGCCTTTGTCCTAGGAATCTGCATTTTAAAACACATACCCCCACTAAGTGATACATTAAATTTCAAAGTCACTACTGTGAATGCTCTCCCGGGGGCGGGGGGAATGCAATAATAACAAATCCCAAAATACTTCAGACACTTTCTGGAGAGTGTTAGGCCTGAGGCGTCCGTTCACGGAGGCTCCGGGCATCTGTGAACGCCACGTCCAGAGGCCTGAAGACTAGAGTCGCCCTCCGATGCATTAGACTCTCCGTTTATTCATGAAAAAGACTGAATGCATGTTTACTTTAACTCAGGAAACGTATGACAGCCTTGCACACACTGGATGCGAGAGGCAGACATTATCCTGGCCCGTGTACAGGACAGCGTACAGGACACAGGACTATTGCACAGCACCTCGCGCTGGGAAGCCAGGGCGTTGGCCGCCGCGCCTGCGAGCCTGAC